ATAATAATCTCTAGGTCTGTCCACGTTACTGCAAATGGCAGTGTTTCTTTTTTTTTATGGTGGAGTAATACTCCATTTTATATATATATACCACATATCTGAGATATATTGTTAAAGTGAAAAAGGCCATGTGCGATATAGTGTATGAATTATGCTACCATCATTTAAAATGAGGTGGGAGGAATCCAAATATATGGCATGTATATACACATATGCTTACATACACATACTTGCTTATGTATCCATTAAATATCTTTGGAAGGATAGACAAAAAACAGCTAACTTGGTCTCCAAGGGGGGAGATTGAGTGGCTAGGTGATAGAGAGGTTGAGTGACAGGAGTTAGGTATGACTGTATTTACTGTGGATTTTTATATACCTTACATGTACACCTTATAAATCTTTATAGTGTATAAACCTCTGAAATGTGATTGGATTAACTTTAAAAGTGTAAATACATAAAATTAAAAGAAAATAAAACATGGCTTTGTAATCAGACACATGTATGTTCTAATTCCAGTTTCTTCACCTTGGTCTATGATGGGGCAAATAAACCCCTCCTTCACAGCTGCCTGGGTAAATGGGTTTAATACCTGGTTTGCAGGATACTGGGGATTATCAATTATGTTGGGAGTAGCACCCACCATGGTGCCTGGCACCACATAAGTGCTCAATTAATGGTGGATGTCATTATCTTGAGGGGTTTAATAAGCATCCTACACTGGACAGTAAGCATATAAGAAGAAGGGCAGCCTAGCATTAACAAAGACATTTATCTCTCTGAAAAATTTTTTCTGTGACAACTAAAATTCAAACACAGTAACTATAGTCATCCTTGACTTTTCTCAGCATTTTTCTGGTGCGTCTCAGCCCTGGCTGCACAGTAGAACCTCTGGGAGCTTTAAAAATGCCTGGTTTCCATATCCAGGGATTCTGATTTAATTGATCTGAGTGGGACCCAGGCACTGGTATGAAAAAAGAAAAAAGACCTTCCCAGATGATTTTAATGTGCACGCAAGGTTGAGAATTACTGAAGAGCAATTTAGAATTCCTTAAACTTCTAGTAGGACCCATTGTCGGGGAAACTTAGAGTCTGAGTGTTTTTTCTCACTGAAGATAGAAGATTCAAGAACCTGTGGAAACTCAGAAATGTGTCCACACATGTTTCTTCTTATGTCACAGCTCCTCAAGCTTCACTCAGATATTTGGTTACTGAAATGCTCTAGGTTTCACTTTAGAACCTATTTTTCTTTGCTATGGCCTTTTAGCCATGTCTGCTTGTAATAGTTCCCATTAAACAAGAAGAAGAAAAATGCTGTTCTGTGGATCATAATTTGGTTTTGATGTTCACTTACAAGTCTCTGATATACGAAAGCTGCCGAAATGTTTCTAAGTGCTGCTTCGTTTTAAACATTACCCACCCCCCCGCCCCAGTTTCTGGTTTTCAGGACTTTTTCTGTTTGGGAAAGATGTTTCTTAATTTTAGCAAAAGCATTTTAAATGATTTTAATTATTGTGATTAAAATATTTTTATTCCACCTGCTTCTTTTTTCTTTAATTGAAATATAGTTGATTTGCAAAGTTGTGTTAGTTTCAAGTGTAGACGAAAGTGATTCAGTTATACTATATATATAGTTTATATATATACTTTATATTCTTTTTCAGATTATTTTCCATTATAGGTTATTATAAGATATTGAATATAGTTCTGTGTGCTATACAGTAGGTCCTTGTTGCTTATCTATTTTATATATAGTAGTGTGTATCTGTTAATCCCAAACTCCTAATTTGTCCCTTCCCCACTCACTTTCCCTGTTAGTAACCATAAGTTTGTTTTCTATGTCTTTGAGTCTATTTCTGTTTTGTAAATAAGTTCATTTTGTATCATTTTTTTTAGATTCCACATATAAATGGTATCATTTTGTCTTTGTCTGACTTACTTCACTTAGTATGATAATCTCTAGGTCCATCCATGTTTTTGCAGATGTCAGTATTTCATCCTTTTTATGGCTAATATTCCATTGTATATACCACACCTTCTTTTTCCATTCATCTGTCGATGGACATTTAGGTTACTTCCTTGTCTTGGCTACTGTAAATAGTGCTGCTGTGAACATTGGGATGCATGTATCTTTCGAATTAGAGTTTTCATCTTTTCCAGATACATGTCTGGGAGTTGGATTGCTGGATCACATGGTAACTCTATTTTTAGTTTTTTAAGGAACCTCCATGCTGTTCTCCATAGTGGCTGCACCAATTTACATTCCCACTAACAATGTAGGATGTTTCCCTTTTCTCCACACCCTCTCCAGCATTTATTGTTTGTAGACATTTTGATGATGGCCATTCTGACCGGTGTGAGATGATACCTCATTGTAGTTTTGATTTGCATTTCTCTAGTAATTAGCGATGTTGAGCATTTTTTCATGTGCCTGTTGGCCATCTGTATGTCTTCTTTGGAGAAATGTCTATTTAGGTCTCCTGCCTATTTTTTGATTGGGTTGTTTTTTGTTTGTTTGTTTGTTTTTTGCGGTACGTGGGCCTCTTACTGTTGTGGCCTCTCCTGTTGCGGAGCACAGGCTCCGGACGCGCAGGCTTAATGGCCATGGCTCACACGGGCCTAGCAGTTCCGCGGCATGTGGGATCTTCCTGGACCGGGGCACAAACCCATGTCTCCTGCATCGGCAGGCGGACTCTCAACCACTGCGCCACCAGGGAAGCCCTGTTTGTTTTTCTGATATTGAGCTGCATGAGTTGTTTGTATATTTTGGAAATTAATCCCTTGTTGGTCGCATTGTTTGCAAATATTTTCTCCCATTCTGTAGGCTGTCTTTTCGTTTTGTTTATGGTTTACTTTGCTGTGCAAAGTCTTTTAAGTATAATTAGGTCCCGTTTGTTTATTTTTGTTTCTATTCCATTATTTTAGGAGATGGATTCAAAAAGATGTTGCTGCAATTTGTGTCAAAGAATGTTCTGCCTATGTTTTCTGCTAGGAGTTTTATAGTATCCAGTCTTACACTTAGGCCTTTAATCCATTTTGAGTTTATTTTTGTGTATGGTGTTAGAGAATGTTTTAATTTCACTCATTTACATGCAGCTGTCCAGTTTTCCTCAGCACCACTTATTGGAGAGACTATCTTTTCTCCATTGTATATTCTTGCTTCCTTTGTCATAGATTAATTGACCATAGGCTTTCTTTCCTGTTCCATTGATTTATATGTCTGTTTTTGTGCCAGTACCATACTGTTTTGATTACTGCAGCTTTGTAGTATAGTCTGACGACAAGGAGTATGATTCCTCCAGCTCCATTCTTCTTTCTTAAGATTGTTTTGGCTATTTGGGGTCTTTTGTGTTTCCATACAAATTAAAATTTTTTTCTTTTAGTTCTGCGAAGAACTAAAGAAAAGAACTAGGTATTTTATTCTTTTTGATGTGATGGTAAATGAGATTGTTTCCTTAATTTCTCTTTCTGATATTTTGTTGTTAGTGTATAGGAATGCAACAGATTTCTATATGTTAATTTTGTATCCGGAAACTTTACCAAATTCATCGATGTAGTTTTCTGGTGGCATCTTTAGGATTTTCTATGTATAATGTCATGTCATCTGCAAACAGTGACAGTTTTATTTCTTCCTTTCCAATTTGGATTTCTTTTATTTCTTTTTCTTCTCTGATTGCTGTGGCTAGGACTTCCAAAACTATGTTGAATGAAAATGACAAGAGTGAACATTCTTGTCTTGTTCCTGATCTTAGAAGGAATGCTTTCAGCTTTTTACCATTGAGTATGATGTTAACTGTGGGTTTGTCATATATGGCCTTTATTATGTTGAGTTATATTCCCTCTATGCCCACTTTCTTGAGTTTTTATCATAAATGGATGTTGAATTTTATCAAAAGCTTTTTCTGCATCTATTGAGATGATCATATGGCTTTTATCCTTCAGTTTGTTAATTGACGTATCACATTGATTGATTTGCAGATACTGAAAAATACTTGCATCCCTGGGATTAAATCCCATTTGATCATGGCACATGATCCTTTTAATGTATTGTTGGATTCAGTTTGCTAGTATTTTGTTGAGGATTTTTGCAGACAAGTTCATCAGTGATATTGACCTGTAATTTTCTTTTTTTGTGATATCTTTGTCTGGTTTTGATGTCAGGGTGTTGGTGGTCTCATAGAATGAGTTCAGAAGTGTTCCTTTCTCTATAATTATTTGGAACTGTTTCAGAAGGATAGGTGTTTACTCTTTTCTAAATGTTTGGTAGAAATTACCCTTGAAGCCACCTTGTCCTGGACTTTTGTTTGTTGGGAGTTTTTAAATTAGTGATTCAATTTCAATACTGGTAATTGGTCTGTTCATATTTTCTGTTTCTTCCTGGTTCAGTTTTGGGAGATTGTACTTTTCTAAGAATTTGTTCATTTCTTCTAGGTTGTCCATTTTATTGGTATATAGTTGCTTGTAGTAGTCTCTTATGGTCCTTTGTGTTTCTGTGGTGTTGGCTGTAACTTCTTTTTCATTTCTGATTTTATTGATTTGGGCCCTCTCCCTTTTCTTCTTGATGAGTCTGTCTAAAGATTTAGCAATTTTGTTTATGTTTTCAAAGAAACAGCTTTTAGTTTCATTGATCTTTTCTATGGGTTTTTTAGTCTCTATTTCATTTATTTCTGCTCTGATCTTTATTATTTCTTTCTTTCTACTAATTTTGAGTTTTGTTTGTTGTTCATTCTCTAGTTCCTTTAGTGTAAGGTTAGGTTGATATTTTTCTTGTTTCCTGAGGTAATCTTATATCGCTATAAACTTCCTTCTTAGAACTGCTTTTTAGCAAAAGCATTTTTTATTTAAAGGTGTTGGTAGTTTTTTAACCCTAATCAGAAAACCTGCCTTTTCTAGTTTAAGGTAGAAGTATAATCTTTGATTTATTCCACTCTGTATGTACTTGAGCTTTTCTTAAAAAAAAAAGTTTAGTATCTTTTCATCAGTATTTTGTTTGTTTGTAGGATTATTTCTGGCCAAGTTTCCATCTGTATATATTCATATATTCTGCCAAGCACCTCAAACTTCTTGGAGTAAAATTATGTAAGTAAAAGTAAATGGTTTAAAAAAAAATTTTAAAAAAAAGTAAATGGTAATTTTGATGTTACAAGCTTTAAAATGTTCATTTTATTTTTAATTTTATAATTTCCATCTTCCAGAATGAACTATTTAAAAGATATGCTGTTAATAAGTAGACTCTATCAAGATCAAGGCTGTTACTATTGTTGGGTTACATGCCAGGGTAACAGGTATTTTAAATGTTTCGTTGGTTTAAATCCTAAAATAAATTTGCTTTTTGTGCATTTTAATAGAATCTTGAAAAAACGTTTTTATTTTCAAAAGATGGTTACATCAGTATATTTCTTATCACTTGCATATTTCTGATCTCTTAATTTTTCTTTTAAAATATTAAACATATATTTAAAAGTTTTTTAGTTTTTCTATTAAAAGCTCAACATTTTTCTAAAAAATAAATAAAATAGCATTTCTTAGTTTGTGGTGGATTACTGCCCCCGATCCAAGAATAATTCTGTAGTTGAAACATTTTTTGTAACAACTTTTAAAAAATGTCCTGAAGCCATCATTTCCTTATAGATGAGTAACTTGAACTTCTGTGATGTTGCTAAGAAGAAACCCACTGAAATATTCTTTTCTACTATACATCCATATATATATATCTGTTTAACAAAAATTAACTCTGAAGGCTATTGGGCACACAGTGCGGTGTGGATACTTATGGCCCAGGCTGGGTAGCCATCTCAGGATTCGTCATTCTCTCCCTTTGGCATCTGCCTCTCCTGGAGAATGAAGGTTGACCAAGGAATTGTCTCTTCCTAGTATGGAATCACCATTTGGTCACCTAACATCAGTTATACAGCAGTTTTAAAAACTCTCTTACAGATGCATTGGAAAAAATGAATATTATAATGAGAAATCCCATCATTACAGTTCAGAAAATTTCAGGAGGCCAGTTTTTTACTTGACCTAGCCCATGCCAGGAGAATAGATTCCAAGTCTCAGACTGTCAAACCTTTGAGAGTAATCAGCCTGTGTCTGTACTTTTTAAAAAATTAATTAATTAATTTTATTTATTTTTGGCTGTGTTGGGTCTTAGTTGCGGCATGCGGGATCTCTGTTGCAGCATGCGGGATCTTTCGTTGGCGGCGTGCGAGCTCTTCATTGTGGTGTGCGGACTTCTCTCTAGTTGTGGTGCACAGGCTCCAGAGCACATGGGATCTGTAGTTTTGTGGCACGTGGGCTCTCTAGTTGTGGCCTGCAGGCTTAGTTGTCTCGTGGCCATGTGGGATCTTAGTTCCCCGACCAGGGATCGAACCTGTGTCTCCTGCATTAGAAGGCGGATTCTTTACCACTGGACCACCAGGGAAGTTCCTGTGTCTGTACTTTTTAAAGGTATTATTTCTTCTTGTACTGAAGTGTTTACCTAGAAACAATCGGAAATATTAGCTAGAGTGCAGATGTCCCCCTGGTGAGGCCAATAAATATTGTAAAGCTATGTGATGGAAAGCAAACAAATCAAACCTCTCTTGCTGGATTATTATAGTGTGAATGGTCTCATTTAATAGTTTCAACCAAAGTAAGGGATAAATTACTGACACATCTCTTAAATTCAGGGACCCCTAACCTAGGTAAAAACCCTCAAGCAAATCAATAGACTCCTCTAAACTTCTGGGAGGTCGCTTCTCTGAGACCTCTGAAGAGACCCAGATAGTGAGACTGAACAGGATTTAAAATCTTGATGGAACTGGTAAGAAGTCCCAGGAATAGTTCTTGGTATGCATAGAGGTCACAGATAAAGAACAGGCCTGGTGCTGCACAATTGATATGATCTATATGTAAATAGTTGAAAGTGTATGTCTTTTTCCCTGAATCATTATGACAAACAGTGATAAGGATTTCAGTCGACACTTTGTAGCCTGCTTTTCCTGAATGAAGATATATTTTTCTTTTCTATTTTTCACGAGATGTTGCATTAGGAATAAGTATCAAGTGAGGAGGTATTTCTACCATGGGGATAGTTTAATGGGATTTCTTGGTAAGCTTGGTAAGTATTTTTATTTCCTCTTTGCATGGGTTATGAAAGTACCATAGACACTCAGGATTATTTTAAAAGGTGATTGGGTTGATTTTTCTCTCTGGATAAAATATTGGCTGTGTGTAATTCTATATAATTATAACAACCAGCCTGAATGTCTGGGTTGGGAGATAATCATTGTAAGTATAAAGGAGATGTTCAGATCATACTCTTGACGGGCTGTTTGCTAGTGTTAAGCAGAGGTATTCCTATGATTTGAGTGACCCCTGGAGTTGGAAATGGGTAACAGGCCCAGCAAGAGGTCAGGTTAGTAGATGAGGAAACATTCTTAGAAACAAGGTGAGGAAGTAATATATTTTGTTTCAGAAAAGGGAGGGGAAAATGAAGAAAAGTAGAGTCATAGAAAACACAGAGAAGGAAATCAGTAGTCCATAGTGACATATTAACAATCTTACAAGGAAGGCAGTAGGTTTGATTGGATATAATAAAGTTCTAGTTTTGTTTCATTGTCTTGGGTGGAATTTGCACTTCTGAAGTTGTCTGCTTGATCAGAAAGGTCTCCCATAACCTGTTTGTGCCTTGAAACCATCTGCTTCTGGAGACTTCTTTGGTTAGCCTCAACTTGCAGTCTGTCACGGGAGTGAACGTCCATTGGTCTGAGTTGGAATTTCCTTTTCATTATGACATATTACACCCTGGGTAGACTTCTGTAGCTGTTGTCAAGAGGACCTGAAATGGCTCCTTTCAGTAATTTAAAGCGTTTTTGCATCTATATCACTTAGTATTTGCTGCAAAACAAACCACCCCCAGACTAGGTGGCTTAAAACGACCATTTATTTATTCATGATTCTGTGGAGCGATTTGGCTGGGATCAGCTGGGATAGCTTTGCTCTGCTCTGCTCCTCGTGGTGTTGTCTGGCCTTATACACGCATTTATAGTCCGCTGATAGTTGATGGTCTCATTCACACATCTGGCGGTTGCTGGCTGTTGGCAGGGCAACGGAGGTAACTGGGCCCATCATCTAGCAGGCTAGCCTGAGCTCATTCACGTGATATTGGTTGAGGGTTCCTAAGAGCAGCAAGAGAGGGCAAACTCCAATGTGCGAGCAGTTTTCAAACCTCTGCTTGGGTCATGTTGTTAATGCCTTGTTGGCCAAAGCAAGTCATTTCCAAGCCCAGACTCAAAGAATAGAGAAATAGTCTCCATCTCCTTATGGAAAGATCTGCAGTCACATACAAAGAAGCATGCATATGGGATGGGAAGAATTTGTGGCCATTTTTGCAATTAAACACACACTGATATCTTTTCTGGTGAACCTGGTCACTGAACTAGGAGTCATACAAAGATGTGGATGATGTCTCTTTTGGAAAGGTGGCTTGTGCATGTTGAGCATAAGACAGTACACTAGATTGACTTCTTACAGTATTCAGCTAGATCTGCATGCAACAAAATAGAGTGATTGGTGGCGTTTTCCCCAATCACATAGGACATCCTGTAATGATGTCCTATGGAAAACAATCTGTATGAGCTCTGAGGAGGTGATCATGGGGCCGTTAACAATACTGACAAAACATTAGACTAAGGCAGATTAAGGATTTTTGATAGTTTAGGAGTCAGCAGATTTTCTCAGTGAAGGGCCAGATAGTAAATTTTATATAGGCTTTGAAGGCCAAATATAATCTCTGTCACATATTCCATATTCTCTTCCTCCTCCTTTTTTTTTTTTTAAACAAAATTTTAAAATATGTAAGAAACACTTTTTTATAGCTTGTGGACCGTATGAAGAGTCTGTAGGCCAGATTTGTCCCATGGGCTGTAGTTTGCCAACCCCTGATTGGGACAGTTTTATCTTCAGTGTCTCATTTATTCTTTCTACCTTTCCTGCATGGGGAGTACAGTTTTTATGTTAGGAGAGAAACCCTGCAGAGTTCCTATATGACTGTTACAGTGAAATGAGTTCCACAGTCACTGGGTAGGAAAGTAGGCATTCCCCATGCTAGGAACACAAAGTCTAACAACTGTAACATCTGTAGCTTCTCATCAAGGAATGGGTTTTTCCATCCTGAAAACTTACAGACTACTGATAGTAAATATAGCCTAGAGACCTGGGTAGTTGTATAAAATCGGTTACTAAATGTTCAAAGGGCCTCGAGAAGGAGTTTCTGTATTTTGTCTTGACCCTCTCGGGTTTACCTGGGTTATGTTAGCACAGGTAAGATGTAATTTTACCACTTCCTAGTCAAATTTTGAAAAATTTTCCATTATTTATCTACTGTGGAACTTGATTTGCTCCTGATGTAGAAAATCATGGGAAATTTAATTAGCATCCACTGGTTGGATCGTGGTACTCCTGAGCAGTTGTCAGGAAATTCTCAGAACCCATCTTTATGGAGAAAATGTCCCTGTGATTGCCAATATTGTTTTTCAGAAGTTTGGGTTGACTGTTATGAGCCAATTATAGCGAGTCTAAATTGAGCCAGTTTTCCTTCCAAGTTTGGTGGGGATACATGCCAATTTGGTAGAACTCATAGTTGGGGTAATAAAAGCTGCTTGTTAGAATGTGAGTTAGCAAGGGCATTCATTGGTTTCTGGAAGAAGGTATTGTCTATGAGTATCTCCCTTAACTGACAGGTGTTTTTCAATATTGAATAGCTTTTAGTGAATCATTAATATCTTTACCATTTTCATTAAGGTATCTTAAGAAACCAAAAATCCCCTTTTTTCCCATAGTATCCCAAAGTTATGAACAATTCCAAATTCATATAAGTCTGTTTAATGTTTACCATTTCTCCATTTGCCAGAGTGCAAGTCAGAGAAATCAGTTCATTCACATGGGCAGATTGAACATTAGGCACAATGGAGCAGCTTTGGTAGCTGCATGTTCAGTGGTGACAGTGTATCCTGCTCAGGAAGTGCCTTTATCCTTTTTAAGATAAGAGCCATCTACAAACAGACTTAAATTAGAATTGACTAAGATTTGACCTGGGC